TATATATATATATATATATATATATATATATATATATATATATTTGTTATATTTATATGCAACTTTTGATGCATTCCCAGCAAACTATATTATATAGAACATTTTAGGTTATATTTTCAATACTACTTTATGTTATATAAATGTCACCATCATGTCAGTTCAAATATGTGTACACTGTAAAAAAAATGCTGGGTTCCACACAATTCCTTCATGTTTTCCCAACACAAATTGATTAAGTTTAATTTAAATGTTTTGACAAATTTAAGTGAATTGAACATAAAACAATTAGGTTGTCATAAAAAAAACTAAGAAAATTGTGTTGTTTCAGCTCGTTTAAAGTAAGTTTGAACAAACAGCAAACATCATTTTTTGAGTGTACACCCCCAAGTGTAGATTCGCATTCCCACCGTTGTCCACAAGAGAGCGCAGTTTCACCAAAATCTCAAAATCACTTTCATTCCTCAAGAGATTCTCTCTTTCTATATCTCATCTTTCAGTCTGTGTGGTGGTTGTTTTCATCTGCTTCTCTCTCTCTTCACTCTTTCTCCTCAGCATGAGAGGCAGCACATTCTCAGAGTAAGCAGGATTTTACACACATCAGCATGAGGACTGAAAGAGTCTCTCTGATGAAGCTTCAGCATGTGTTTGTGCTCCTCTAACGATAAAAGCAGAACAACGAAGCTCTCCGCATCAATGCAGAAACACTGGATGCATGGCAATAATACAGGCTTGTGAAAAAGAAGTACACGCTATAGCATCCTTAAGAAAGAAATAATGCTCACACTTTGCATTATAGTTACATTAGTTCATGTGTTTATTAGCATGAACTAATAACGTACAATACCTGTAGTAGTGGTGTAATGGATCACTAATCTCACAGTTCGGACCTCTTTATGTTTGTATCTCTTTATGTTTTTGTTTTTTTTGTCACGGATCAGACCATTTTTCAGATCAGCCAAAAAGGGGAGAAGACAAATATCATTTGCTTTCCATTTATTGCAAAAACAGCACTACAAGACACTTTTGGTTTTAATAAACAGAACTTAAAAGCTAACTTACAAAAAAAAAAAATAGTCAATAAAAAATACATAATAAATAAATAAATTAATTAATGAAATAAATTTGACATTAAATGTAACCCATAAATAGCTGTAGCCTTTTTGCAAGACATAATGTTCTATAATTAATTTATTTAGCAATTTCGTAACATTTTAACTGCCTTTATTACATCTTTATTTATCACATTTGGTTTATTTGTTAGTATTTTTTTGGTGATAAGGCGGAACATTCCATTCTACATCTATTTGCCTCCAAAATTGATTCCGTCTTTCCAACGCTCCATCATGCCCGACTCCAACTCTTAAGGGTGGGCCAAGCACATTATAAGTCACCAAAGTGTTACTTTAAATAAGTTGTTGTTTTCCAAATAAAATAAGACTTTTAATAACTAAAGTAATACTTTTGATAACTAATTGTTTTCTAGAGCGCATTTAAACATTAGGCTTAGAAAAGATCTTGTTATAACGACAAAGCTGAGTGGGAAAAAAAATATGTGTGTGGCAGCAATGCGTCACCAAAGCAATGTAACTTTGAGTCAACAAAATGTGCAATAGGGACCATCAAAATAAAGTGTTACCCAACCTTATTGTTATTGGGTCACACTTTACAATAAGGTTCATTATTTAATGTTAAGTAATGCATTTACTAACATGAACAAACAATGAACAATACATTTACTACTGTATTTATTCATGTTAGTAAACGTTAGTTAATGAAAATACAGTTCAATGTTCATGTTAACTCATGGTGCATTAACTAATGTTAACAAGCATGGACTTGAATGTTAATAATGCATTAATGTTCAATTATGATTAATAAATGCTGTACAAGTGTTGTTTGTGATTAGTTCATGTTAGTAAATGCATTAATTAATGAACCTTATTGTAAAGTGTTACCGTTAATTGTTACCTAAATAATAATCAGGGGTGTCCAAAATTATTCAAAATTATTTTTAATAATATTAGTGCATGGCAGCGGTGTTATAAAGTCACAGAAAATTATCCTCTTTGATTGGCTGTGGTTCCCGCTGGTGTGATGTGATTGGCTGATTACACTTGTTCTGCATGGTTCTGTTTGATGCACACTGGATAGGAGCTCACACGGTGGCTCTGATGTTAAATTTGTAAAGTATGCATAGTTCATTCCTGATGTGTTGTCTGAGGAGTGTGTGTGTGTGTGTGTGTGTGTGTGTGTGTGTGTGTGTGTGTGTGTGTGTGTGTGTGTGTGTGTGCGCGCGTGTGTGTGTGTGTGTGTGTGTGTGTGTGTGTATTCATATGGGCAGTGATGATCTCCCATGGCCCTGAGAGCTCTGTGATTACATCTCAACCGTCTCTATGTGAGTTCTGAGCCCGACTGACCACCATACTGAACACAGAAAAGTAAAGATAGATTTTATTCAAGATAGTAGTATCCAGCTTAATGTGACATTTAATGTAATTACATTTTTAATAATCATTTAAGGGGGTGGCACTGTGGCTTAGTGGGTAGCGTTGTCGCCTCACAGCAAGAAGGTCACTCGTTCGAGTCCCGGCTAGGTCAGTTGGCATTTCTGTGTAGAGTTTGTATGTTCCCCCCATGTTGGCGTGGGCGTGGTTTCCCCCACAGTCCAAACACATGCACTGTAAGTGAACTTGTAAGTGAACAGCGAACTGTGTGTGAATGAGTGTGTATGGGTGTTTCCCAGTACTGGTTTGCAGCTGGAATCTGGGCATCTGCTGTCTAAAAAATATGCTGGAATAGTTGGCGGTTCATTCCACTGTGGCAACCTTTGTAATAGAGACTAAGCCGAAGGAAAAAGAATGAATGAAGAAGCATTTAAGTTCATTCTTAAAATCCTATAAGTTTTGACCTGATTTTGTTGGAAATTAGTCATTATGTTTGGTTTAAAAGAGGCCGCTGATTTTTTAAGTGTGATGGCATTAGACTGTAGACAGAAGCTAAGCTTGTATGAAAGAGTTTATTTTAAGGCTGATATTTAACCTTTGTTAGTTTCGGGGGGATGGGGGGTAAATGTGGTAATGTCAGAGACAGAGAATCAGAATAACATGAGGTTGTGTAATTTTAACCCAGAGCATACGCGTCACACAAAGACATGCTTTGTCTTTGCACTCCATGGCTGTTATCGTCACACATTTGTCATGGCATCCTTGTTATCGAAATGATTCATAGACATCATCTCTGTTCCTTCAGCACAGCTTGAAGTTGAAAACATTTCCCAGAATCGTCTATTTATCCAAAACGAAAACTCAAAAAATTACATTTCCGCTAATATATATGGAATATATGATTTATATAAAATATCAGTCAAATTGTATTGATTTATGTATAGTCCAAAATAAAGAATAAGCTCACAATATTTCAATTAAATTAATGTTATAGACAGACAGACGGACGGACAGACAGACAGATAGATAGATACTAACTAGCCCAGATAGATAGATAGATAGATAGATAGAT